AAATATTTTTAAAATTACTTATTAAAAATATTTTTAAATAATTTTTTTTTCAAAGTTATTTTGTGTAGATATCTAATCCAACATATTTGATGCAAAATTTTGCACAATTTTATTAAGTTAACATGTCTTGTGCTATTAGAAAATCTTGTTTGTAATATCCTAAAGAATATATCTATAAACTTTCGTGAGTTTTGAATACTTTATTATTAAAATATAGATAAAAATATTATGCATTACTACTTTTGCCAGGAACTGTATTACTTTTTCTAATAATAATAATAAAACTAAATCATTAATTATTAATATTAAATCACAAAATATTAAAAAATATAATAGAAGAAAATTTTCATTAGTATATTATATATAATAAAGAAATATCACATGATTATTATAAAGATATTTATAAATATTATTCATAATATTAGAAAATTACTAGATCTTCTATTTTTCAAATATATTTAGTATTATATTATTCAAAATATCTAACTTCAACTTGTAAAATCTAAATAATTAATAATTAATAGTTAAAGTTCTGTAGTCAAATTTTGAAATTTAAGTTATATTTATTTTTGATTTTGTATATATACTTTTTCTATTTATATTATTTAATTATGTGTTATAATATTTTGTAAAAATATATATTAATATATATATTATTAATTACTAATAAGTAATCTATTTTAATTTATTATTATGCTATTATTAAAATATATTTCAGATAATTAATAATAAATAGTGAAAGTCAGATTATATCAAGATGATAATATATTTATTAATATATCTATATATAATTTAGTAGATCTATATATTTTAAATAAAAACTATTATCTAATTTTCTAAATAAAAAAAGATTAATTATATTGTAATTTGATAATTAAAAGTAGTATTTATTAAAATCTTCAGATATTTTTCTTGTAATACTATATTATTAATATAATGTATTAGTTTTTGCTTAATTTTTTTTTCATATTTAAAATTTATTACTAATATATAATATTTAATTATATTAAAATTTATTAATTATTTGAAGATAAATTTGAGATGAAGTAAATATTCTTTTAGCTTGATAGTTTTTTATATATAAGTATATCAATTATTATTATTTATACTATATGAGTGATTATTATTATATATTCAGATATAAATATAATCTGATAGATTTTTGAAGTAGTATTTAACTATATATAATTAGAGTTTGATTTCTGTTAATATAATAATATTAATATAATAAAATTAAATAAGAGAATAAAGATTTTCTAATTTTTTATATGTGTTAAGATTAAAAATATTATCTTAATTAATTATGATTTATGATAGCTAATCAGAGAATTATGATTAATTGTGATAATTAATTAAAGAATTATAATCAAGTTATGATATTATTTTTAATTAAAACTCTTATAATTTAGAGTGATAATTCTTAATATATATAAATACTTGATATTTATGTTATTATCTAATAATGAAATATATAAAATGTTTTATATTATTATAAAAGAGTTTGTTAATATTAGATATATATTATTTATATAATTATTAAGAATATATAATAAGTATTATATGATAGATAATTATGTTATTTTATTAGTTATTCCAGATTTTTTGTTGTTCTAATATGTTAAGTTTTCCTATAATTAATTATTTGTAATTGTTATAGTTATGTTTGTAATTGTTAGTTGAGTGTGATTAGTTCTGTGATCTGGTATTTTTGATTATTAATGATCATATTTAGGTAATTAGTTAATTGTAACTGTAATAAAGATAATATTAATTGAGTGTTAACTATGTTAGACTCTAAATTGTTAAAATTATTATTATTATTATTATTATTATTAATTCTTTTCAAATTAACACTTATAAGATGTAAAGAAAAAACAAATGTATAAATGAAGAAATTAACAAAGAAAAAATCAGGTCATGTGTTTGTAATACGGAAGCTACATTAGATCACATGTCCGAATTTTGGCATATCCGTGTATTTTCGTAATAAATAGTGAGACGTGATTGAATAGTTCCTAGTTATTACTTCAACACATTTAATAATATCTCGATGAATGTGCGTGAATCTCTCAGACTTGATCTATCCATTGTACCTGGCAAGAGTCTTGGATGGTTCCGGCTAGGTGAGTAAAAAAAGCACGTATTTGACATACTTTTCACGTTCTTACCAATTACTTATAGGTACTTCAATTTGGGATGTAATCAATTTTTTGAGGGAACAATCTCGTTTTATGCCCTCTGTGGATTTTAAATATAGTGACGTGGTAAATTTTATCGTCTAGAGTCGCAAACTTTTTTTTAATTCATTGGCTTTAATTTGCGTTCTTTATTTTTTTAAAAAGTCGCCATTATCAACAGATCTATATCTTTCCTTGCCAAGCAATGGTATGCATCTTCGATTTGATGCTCAGACGCAACGACTCAAGTCAATAGAAGTTTATGATTTCTCGAAGCTGCGTCTTGTATATCGAAATAATGTTCGAAATAATGAAGTCAAGTGTGTGTGGTATGTCAGTGTTGTTGAATCTTAGCTTATGTAGAAATAATGAATTGCACGTGTCTTGATGATCTATATGTAATTTTTGGCATTAGCTCAGATAAAGTGGTTCCGAATTTTCTTTTGATCTATGAAATTTTTGGGTATGTGTCGCAAATAATTTTGAGTGTTTCTCTTTCTAAAATCCTACTAATTGATTCCAATATAATCAGACCTACGTATCCGGGAGAGTTTGATCCTGACAAAAAAGAATATACTCTAAATTATCCGGTAAGTACTTCAACAATCATAATTCTGTTGCGATGTTAGCTTTAGCGAATCTACGAAAATCATTACCACATTATTATGTAGCAATTTTTTGAATCTCAAGCATACTTTTAAATTGGATTTGATGGCAAAGTTGTGTTACTTAATTGCACGCTGTAAATATATTAAAAAAAAGGTGATTTTGGTAGAATTTACAAGGGACAATATTTTGCTTGTTTGATGCTTTATAGAATCAAGAATCTCTTCAGAAAATGTTTCGAGACTCTTAAGAAGTAGATTCCGGAATTTCAGAAATATTCACTTCAACAAAATTTTCAACACTTGTTTGGCTCAAAGGGTGTTTCTTTTGTATTTCCAATTCCGGAAGAACATCTTTCGCTTATCAAATCATCAGAGGGTAAATTTGTTAAGACCATTAATGATTTCTCGCATTATTTTGTAATCTAATAAAAATCTACTCCATAATTAGACCTTCCTGTGGAGCTTCCGGATGGAACATCTCCATTATTATCACATTTGTACATATACCAGGGTGCCAACTTTCGATCTGCTGTTTCCCCTCCTTTGATAAGAGGCAGTAATACAGATGGAATTGCAGCTAGTACAGAAGAGGTTGGGGAAATCGAATCTGTTGTTGCAACGGTAAAAATGATATTTTATTAGAGATACCAATTATTCATTTTTAGTTCGTTATCCGATCAATTAATGAAATTCTTTGCACTTAAAGTTGAAACGTGGAATCACCGTGAAATTCGTCTTCTCTTCGACCGAAATTCTTTTAAACATCACGACACCACAAGATCTGTTAGTAGAAATTGGCGCGCCATTACGAGTTTTTTACAAAGAGGAGGATAAAATGCGAATACATTCCGAGGAAAATGTAGTCGACGCGTTCGAGGATGTTGAAAATGCTGGGCAGCCAAATTTGGCAACGAATGGAATTGAGGATCGTGCAGGCGGTGGTAATGGTAAATTCCGTTTACGAGAAATTCACATAACTTGTTGCTTCTATAGATTTGAATCTATGTATCTTTATCATCCCCTCCCCAGACGGGCATCCTATAGATTACTTTTATAATTATTTTCATTTGGGATTTGATGTGCTTTTTGATGGGGCTACGCATCGTTGTAAAAAAATCGTGTTGCATGGCAATGTGCCAGGACATTATGATTTTCAAAGGTAAGATTATTGAGTAAATTATACTGTTCGGTTAACCCACGTTTATTTGACAATTGACCTATTCTAAAATTATAGGTATAAGAGATGTCCCTATAAGCTAACTGTGCCTCAAACAAATAGTAATTCAAGTCAAGGTATAAAAGATTAAAAAAGATTGCATTCCTTTTATAAATCGATTTATTTATATCAATCTTGTAAATCCGAAAATAGCTGCCCAATTAAATGTTCAAAGTGAAGGCGAAGATGGGACGAATCCAGGAAAATTTATAGATGGAGATGCGAAGGTATTTGTTCTCTTCAATCAATCTCTTTTTATGTGAATATGTTCACTGATAACGCAATAAATTCAAAAGATTGACGTGATTTATGAAACTTTTGGGCCGTCCAATGGTAAACCGCTAATTTTTAATCGTGGGTCAAGTGGGCAAAATCCTTTTGGTCCCACAGAATTAATCGGATATGATGGTGCAGTTTTTGAGGTGAGTTGTATGACACATCGAGTTCATGCTCATGTTAAATTTTATGTTGACTAAGAAACTCAATAATTTGTATTTTTAAATGATAGATAATGAAAAATAAACACATTGCGACTATAACCTTATTTTAAATTATTATCTATTAAACAAATGAATGTATAAATATATATATTTATATGGCATACGTTTCTAATTTTGTCATTTTTTAATCATTTACTACTATCCTATCCACATTAGATAATATTTACATAGAAACTCGAATTATTATTAATAATTACTAATTTCTATCTTGCGCAAATACAAGATAGAACATACATGCAATAAATAATAATACGTGATAAATCCCAAAATGCGTATGTTTAAGTAGGGCGCCGCCTCTAATTGTTGCATGCGACTTGCACTGCACCAATTATCAAATTAAAAACGATAATGCTTGAATATATAATTACGGTAAATAAAAGTAATGGTGAATATGGTGCATATTTTGGTGAGATATTCTATCATACATACATACAATTATAGTGGGAATAAAAAATAATAATAATAATAATTTGTATGAATCTTTCTATGCTTCCAATTGAAACCCTATTCCGAATCTTGACGTGCTCTGAAAGATCAAAATGAAATTAAAACTAGTCCGATTACAGAAATAAAGATTGAAGGGTATCAATTTTTTACCTTTGCGTGTTCAATATCACCGGTAATTATAAAGGAAAATCCTGGCGCAATTTTCTCTTCTATCACGACACTAACGCGACCTGTTGTATCCAACTATACCGATGTAATAAAATTTATAATTAAAGAAAAAAGGTGCAGCTTTATCAAAAGTAAGGATGTATAATTTCAATCAACTAGTTACCTGGCCTCTAAATGTTGCTGCGCGAAAATCAAATTTTCCACCCTTAAAAAAAAATAACAAATTAGAAAAAATTATGTATGGAAAAAAACGCGTGGCGTCAAAATTACACACTTACTAATGAGCCAACCGCTTCTCTCCTACCACCAGCGGCAAGTATCTGCAATTCTGTTCCAAAATCAACTTTCTCATTAATCTTTTGATAATATGAAGCGTTCAGTGCACCTGGAGCTTGCCATTGCAAAGTGGCAATATAATCATCAGCGGAATGCTTAACGACAAGAGATCTACTCGTTTCCTCAATATCAGCTGTTGGCTTTTGATATACCAATTCGGTGCCCAAAGCAAGGTTCGGCGTGATTGATTGTAGATAACTCAGCACAAATATTCCCGTGTTATCAACTATTGAAGGATTAACCGTTTTGAAATTCAAAGAATAATCTGGGCCTTGATAATCTTGCTCCAGTTGCAGCATTGAATGCCCAGGCGTTGGTAATAACTTAACGCGAAACGGTACATGATTTGGTCATCGTATATGATGATGAAAGTTCTTTGCCAACGTAAAAATGAAAAGAAAGGTCAGATATGCTTACTTGTGCTTGTAGTTTAGACACGTTCTTGGGGTTCCACGCATAATTAAAACGCGCCGAAAGATTACCATCTGTATCAAGAGTACCATGTAGAAAGGTCTATTGATCATCGAGTGCCATCGAAAAATTCAAAGTCAGATTGGCGCCTGATAAAACATTAATTGATTGGCAAATTGAAAAGCAGATAATAAATGTAATAATAATACTGTTAGAACCTTAGTACCAACATAGGCAGCGCCAAAACTGTAAGAAGGTGGCGTAAGAGTTGAACCGAGTGAGAATGTATGAGAAACTTGAAAATTTTGTGATAAAACTTTTGTGAGATCAGCTCTGCCTCCATCGAATAGGTGATTTGTAAGGAATGTGTCTGTATCAGAGATCGAGAAAAGCGAGTGAGATAGATTAATTTTTAGAGTAAAAAATTGCACTCATTCGGAAACAGAAATTTGATAATTTTTCAAATCTATCCGAATTCGGAAAAAGTGACATACTTTTCACCTCCCGATGTAAGCCTTCAAATGTACCGGGATTTGGCAAGTTAAGAGTTTTGTGATAACCCGTTAAGTTACTTAATAACGTTTTTACGTTCCACGACTTTGGTTTGTCAGTTATCTCGGCGCTTTGTATTAAAGAAGAAGTTTTATCCGCAGGACTAGCCATTATTTCAACTATTTTTTATAGTATGGATAGAAACGCGTCAAAATTCAAAGGTGAAGCGAGGGTTTGATACGTGTGTATGGTACGAAATGCTCTTAATATTTGCACAAAAATTTTCTGATCTGTGTAACATTTCTGGTTTTGACTCCACAACAATTTTTAGATGTTGCCTAATTTTGGTAATTTTTTCGAATTATGTCCGCAACATTAGGGATAAAGATAATAAAAAAATAACCAATTTCATGTTTACGTTTTAAAGTAACCACTTGACACTCTCTCCATTCGTTTTAACCGGAATTTTTTTGATTTAAACGAAAGGAGAGAACCAACCACCGAGTATAGTGAAAAAAATAAATACCTTTTGATTCCAAAAATTATTATTTCAAATAATGTTCCAATTTTGAGGCGTAATTATAAATTTTTATCACGTCCATCTGTTGATTTCTTTAAAGTTCCATTATTTGAATTATATGAGAAGAAAAAAGTGATATGCAATCAACTGGAAAAGGTAGTTAATATTGTGATTATTAAAATGTCAATCTCTTTGATAAAACCCCCCGAACTGGGACTATATATCTATTAGTTTACCGAGGTTTTATTTATAACCGTTCCTGGACCCAAATTCGGTTTTAATTAGTGATTCAGTTTAACGGGTTATGGGTCAACTAAGCGAATGATTCAATTGTTGAAGATACACGTATTGTTTGTTATAGGATGATTCTATAATTGAATTTCTATGGTTAACGTAATTAACTGAGTTTCGAATACGTACAATATGTATTTTCTTTACACTTGGAAATAGAGTTAAGACTAGGGTATTATATGTATATTATATTATAAAAGTATGTATGGTAAAATAAATATATTTAAAAATATCAATTTGACGAGAACATTCGGGATCAGGCAACGGAATTAGATAATTCTTATTCCTTTATGAAAATTTGCATATTCATATGATTGGTTAATCTAGCATAAAGTAACCTTTGCATGGCGGTCGAAATTTCTCCGTCTAATTAATTTGAAAATTTCAAGAAGGAATAAAATGACTACTGCTTCAACTTCCAAGACATTTTTAATTCAAGTTAGTTCCTTATATCAGTCAACGGATAAAGTCAAACGGGAACAAGCCAATGCATGGCTACAAGCTTTTCAAAAAACGGTGAGTTCTTATTGCTTAACAGTTAATAGCATAAGATTACTCTTTTGCATTATTAACTTCGACACTTCATACTCGACTAGCCAGAAGCATGGACAATAGTAGACCAGATTCTACGGCTGCCGGACGTAAGCCCGGAAGCTAAATTTCATGCAGCACGAACCTTTCGTTCAAAGGTGAGCGAATAGTTGTTTGTTATGAAAGTGTGTTGTCGTACTACACGAGGGTCAGATCAACTTTGTGGCGACCGCGCCAGCAATAATGGTTTTAATCAGCCAAACTGATCTCTTAGATATCTTTGCACGCATCTCGCGTCTCTCAAAATTTGTTAAAAAACTGAAGCGTCGTCTATGGTTTGTCGCAGATTATATATGATCTACATCAGCTGGACGCGAACGGACGCAACGATCTCCGGGATTCCCTTTTGGATTTGCTGTATCAATATCGTGCTGGACCGCGCAACATCATCACCCAGATATGCCTCTCGCTTGCTGCGTTAGCGCTGCAAATGCTAGAGTGGCAGGGTGTGTTATCCCAGTTTATATCGGTATTTGGCAAGGATCCCGAAACTGTCAGTTGCCTATTAGAGTTTCTGAAAGTTTTGCCGGAAGAGGTGAATGACAATCGTCGGATACCAATAAAAGTGAGTTTTGATACAATCAAATTGATAAAATTACAGTTGGCAAAGATAATGTCTCACAATTTTCGGTTTTGACTTGAAGGAAGAAGAATATCGAGTTCGATCCAAAGAATTATTGACAGATAATGCAGAGGAAGTGATACGAATCTTATTAATTTGCCTTCAAAACTCTGGTAATAAATTGATGGAGTTACCTTTTGTTTTTTTGTATGTGTATTAATAATTTTTTTATTGATCCGGACGTAATTTGATAATATTTAGGGTCGAATACCGAATATCATAGAAAGGTTTTTGAAGCTTTATCAAGTTGGTTATATTCAGGCGATATCCCTATCAACTCGTTAGCAGCGAATCCTCTGTTAGGACTTTCTTTTGATGCACTACAATCAGAAGAATTATATGATAACGCAGTTGATGTAGTATGCCAAATAATTCAGGAATCTCAAGATATTCCTGATTCTATGCCGGTGATTGAACAAATTTATACTCGATTATTACCCTTAAGGGAACCACTAAAAATCGCAGTTTCATCCGAGGACGAAGATGATAAAGTTCGTGGTTATTGCCGAATTTTCACTCATGCAGGCGAATCTTATTTGCCGTTAGTCGTTCAACACTCCGAAGCGTTTCGAAGTATAGTAGAGGCAATAGCTGATTGTACAGCATACCATGATACCGAAATAGTTCGAATTACTTTTGGTTTTTGGCATCGTTTAGCTGATACGCTGTTTGAACCTAGACATGCCGAGATTAAACCCAAATTCGACGATATATTCGCAAATCTAGTGGATGTGATGATTAAACACTTGCATTATCCCAAAATTGATGTTAGTTGGACCGCACAGAAACGCGACGAATTTCGAGAATTTCGTCATGTAATGGGAGATGTACTCAAGGACTGCTGTATTCTCTTAGGCTCAGAGCGATGCTTATCTAAACCATACGCTACCTTGTCAGCACAGCTTGCGAATGCGGCTAGTGGCAAACCTGTGGATTGGCAAGATATTGAAGCACCTTTATTTTCATTAAGAGCAATGGGATCGGAAATAGAAGACGAAGAAAATGTTATATTACCTCAAATAATGCAACTGATATCACAACTTCCCAACCACCCCAAAATTCGATATGCGGCCACCTTGGTTATTTCACGATACTCGTATTGGACCAGGAAGCATCCCGAATTCATTCCATATCAACTAACCTACATTTCATCGGGATTCGACAACGATGAAGTTGCAGCTGCTGCAGCATTGGCACTAAAATTTCTATGTAAAGACTGTAGTGAGGTATATGAACGTAGAATTTATCATTTTGATTATTCTTGGTTTTGTTTTATATCACTCAGGGTTTTATTTTTGTAGCTTTTGATAGAATACCTTCCGCAACTTCATCCATTCTATCTTTCTGTCACAACAACTTTGCATGGTGTAGATCTGATTGAAGTTACAGAGGCTGTTACTCATGTTATCGCTGCTGTCCCTCCTAATGAATTATTAAATGCTTTGCAAATGTTCTGTTTGCCGATTGCACAGAAACTGGCAGAAATTGCGAATAAAGGAGCCACAGCAAATGAAACGGATATTAAGGAGGCGTGTGGTAAGTGTATGAATATGATAATAATAACTGTCATTTATCTAATGATCTTCTGTTTCAGAAAAAACGGATCAATTGTCCATAATGATTCGAGTTATTGCGGAACGGCGTGATGAAAAGAACCCTCCAGCAATAACTCCTGCTGGACAAACACATCCATGTATCTCTATCATACAAGAGATGTGGCCAGTTTTTGATCAGCTGCTCACACATTTCGGGGGTCATGCACATTTTTCAGAAGCGATCTGCAAATGTTTTAAATATTGCGTCGTGTCATATCGTGATGATTTTCGTCCATTGCTTCCCGCATTGATGGAACGATTGGTGACCACATTTGATGGAACGGGCTTGAGTTGTTATTTGTGGGTGGCTACAAAATGTGTGCGCGAACATATTGATAGGGAAGGAAGTGAAGTAGCTTTGACGATGCTCTCTTTCGTTCAAAGTTTGAGCATAACAACGTTTCGAATTCTGAATGAAAAGAAAATAATTGATATTCCTGATGGTGAGTTTTTTTTCAATCACATTATTTTGTTACGGATATAAAAAAAGTATCAACTCACGCCTTATCTCATTTTTAAATGAACGCTTGAAATATAGTGATAGAGGAATACTTTCGTCTAAATATTGCATTTGTTGATAGTGTACCCGCAACTTTTATTCATTCCTCTATCTTATCACCCATATTTCAGGCAGGATTACAAAGTCTAGCAATAGAGCAACAAGATGCATTATACGCAGTTTTGATATTTTTCAGTCGTCTATTATCATACGGAGTGTCATTACGTGAACCGCAACCTGCTAATGTCTCATCATCTATTTCACAAACCCACCAGCAGTCGATACTAGTCAATACTGACGCGGATATAGCGGCATTGGAAGTGTTGATTCGTCAACATGGTATTGAATTGGTTAGTCGAATGCTTGATGGTCTCTTACACATTTTCCCAAGAGACCTACAAATAGACGTGGATAATGTCTTTAAATCACTCGCAAGAATTTTACCTATGGAAAGTCAGCAATGGATGGCAGATGTAGTTCAGCGGTTGCCTGAAAATGAAGTTACCCAGAATGATCGAAACGCTTTCATAAGTGAATACAGTCGGTATGTGTAAGCTTGACTCATAGATCGTATGTATATTTTGGTCAAAAGGCCCATACAAGTAAATTTTTATAATGAGTAATTGATTACCACCATTATTATTATGATTATATTTTATTTAAATAGGGCAATTCAAGAGAAAGATTGGAGTAAACAAAGACGAGTTTTGAATGATTTCGTGGCCGTCTGTAAGAGAATACAATACTCTTCTAGAAGACGTCGAAGTACCGATTTTGCAGATTAATTATAACAATATATTTAATAATAACATGTGATTATTGTCATTTTATAATCATATTTCTTCATGAAATTAGTCACTATCTCAAATGCAGTTTTGCGAGATTTTATTACTGAATTGCATAATAATTAATGCCATCTAAAAAGAGCAAGGCTCAAAAAATCAAAATAAAGAGGTTTATGTACAAATTTCATGTTACATATTTAATTTTATCCTTGCTCTCCGTAGTAATTAATCCCTTTCATTTCTCATGATCTTTAATCTTCAAGATTTGTAATATTATTGTTGTTATTTATCTTTTAAAGACTCCATAGTTTCACTACAGAATCATGTCCCCCTGACACCAGCAAATTGTCCTTGAATCGTATACATTCCACAGGTTCATTGTGACCTTTGAAATGAGAGTATTGTAGCGAATTGCGATTGTAGATCTAGATTTTAATATAAGATATTAAGTAAAGCAGTCGATTTAACAATAAAATGATGAAATGATTTTCATTTCCTTTACCAAAACGTCATTTTCACCAGCTGCACACACGATTTTGTTTGTATCAAATTGCAAGTCTGTGACTGCGTAATCATAAGTGAGTGTATCGAATACGGCTCCCGTTCTTAAATCCCAAATCTTTTAAATGTAAAATGTGGAATCAGAATGATATTAAAGCAAATCAAAACTTGAAATTAATTATATATTATATACCATTATACTTCTGTCCAAACTACCGCTTACAACCTGAATTTCGTTGAACTGGAGACATGTGATAGGTCCTATTTTTTTTAAAAAAAAATAGGTGTTAGTCAAATATGTTCAACTTGAGACTTTTGATGTTCAAATGGTATAATTCACAAACCTGCATGACCAATTAAAGTTCTGTGAACTTGTCCGGTTCTTACTAAAGGTATACATTTTAGATGGTTTATATGAACAATGATATATAATATGGAAGATGATAACTCAGAGATTAACGAAAACGTTACATACAATCCCACATTCGAATTGCTCCATCTCTGGTACCACTGGCTAACGCATAGTTCCAGAATTGCAAGGCCCCTATAAAATCTCCTTCATCCAATATAGAATTATCTCCAAGTGTGCTGGACACTTTGGTACTTGAAATAGCCCACAAAATGTCCAATGTCAGAATACATTGACTAGTTTCAATGTCCCATTGTTTCATGGTTCTATCAGAAGAACCTGAAAGCTGCAATGGAATTATTTATTTTTAATTGAATTCATATATAAAATTAAAAAATATAGAATATTAATTCTCACCAGATATTGATCTTCGTAATAAAGACATGTAACTTCGCCAGTATGCCCTTCCAAGGTAGCAATCCAAGCATCTTCACCGATGTTTTCAAGTTTGTTTTCATGCTCATTATTTTCTTCATGATTAAACGCTTCGTGACTAATCACTTCGTAACTACTATCACGTTCTAATCCATTACCACGCAATGAAGGTGAAGAAAGAGAGCTTGGAGTAGACGAGGTTTGATGGGAAAGCTTGTCGAGATTCCATTGCCGAATAGTTCTGTCGCTTGATCCGGTAAAAAGTTGATTTCCATTTATTTGCAAGCAATTGACGAGCCCTATTTAACAAGCAGAAAATTAGAAGTAGATCTATCTTAATTATTATTATTTATAAAAAATTACCCTCGTGTCCATCCAATATTCCCAAACATTTGCCAGTCGTCAAATTCCATACGCGCAGAGTATTATCCATCGATGAAGTGACCAATTTACTGCCAGGTTTGTCAAGATCTAGACAGGATATAACATTGTAATGACCTTCTAAAGTCTTGCATCATTTTCCAAAAGATTAATTGCAAGTTGAATATATTTGTCCGAAATGATCGGACGTTAAAAATAAATAATCGTTCTGTGAATTCACCTTAATACAAGTTCCCGGAGCATAATGTTTAGAAGTTGAACCTAATAGTAGAAGTAAAAGTAAATATCTCAAGAATCGTATGAAAAAAGATTGAAATTACTTTTTACCGTAGACTTACGTTTTGAACCGTGACTTTGTTTCTCAGCAGTTTGACAATCTTCTTCTCGATCATAATTCATAATTCTTTCATTCAAGTCCTCCACTTAAATGCTAAGTGAATTAATAAAGGCGGAATTTCGTAAACCAAGCAAAAAACAACTTGATTAATTGTCTTACGTTTTTCAGCAAGATCTTCTTTTCTATTTTTGAATCTTATAAGGCTATTTTCTAATTCTCTTCTTTGTCGTTCCAATTCAACAATCTGTGATTCAATTCTATTAATTTCTGCTAATGCCCGAGCCTAAAATCAATTTATCATTTAAATTACTTTAATGATTAATCGAATAAATTTCAGAAGATAAATAAACAATCGTTTGATCACCTCTTGAGAATTCAGTTTATCTCTTGCACGAACAACTCGATCACGGTCAATAATTAATTGATTTAGAGGTTTGAAATCATTATCGATGGAGGCTAGCGCAAGTAGGGGACGCTAATGTTAAAGCATAATCTAGCACATATGAGACATAATAGCATACAACAGATTTGGTTCATTGAGGAGTCTTCATACCGGTGTCTGAAAACTCGTCAACTGAAAGATCTTCGTTTAATTGTCCTCGTGTTTTTCGTTTTTGAAGCTGTTTTGATTTCTTTTTGGTACTGCTTTCCTTTATCGAACCAGTAGAATATTCCGGATATGTGACTTTAAATCCTTGAAATAACGATAATGGTGCTGTTGACTCGGGAATCTCGGACTCCAATAATACTTTGTCCATATTTACTGTTTTAGCTATTCTCATGATTTGATCTGTTGCTGTCGAAGAAAGTTGGTTAGAGCCTTCACTTGAATTAAGTCCATTTACATGGGTTTGTAGCCGTCTTTTGTCCAAGATTTGGGGTGCGAGTTCAGAAATGATTGCGACAGTGTCACCTTTTACGACAGCTCGGGTAGCTAAAGGGTTAAATAGAATAGAAGCGGTACTTGACACTGTGCTTGTGAAGGTGTTCAGGTGAAAAGATGACGGTATAAAATTGTTTAGACTAGAACTTGGTCTCGAATCTTGTGTTGTTGAGTCTGTCCGGTTCATTACTGTCTTTATGAACGAAGTTCATTCAGAAAAATTCAAAAATGAATAATGAAGTGCAATATATGCTCTGTCATGATAGTTGAAGTTACACATACGTTTCATTCGTTTTTAGTTTTTGTGTGCACGATGATGATTGATTAACTTTGTTGATCGATGATCTATGACTCATTTCTACCTAATATTTTTGTGACAAAAGTTTTCATTTTCTTTTGTTTGTCATTTGAACCTACACCATTATAACGATGCTTCTATCAAAGCTTAGCCGAAATTTCGTTTCGCGTGGAACATTTCCGAGAACAAGTCAGACTGGCTCACTGGTGTGTAAATTATATAAAGTTGATTTTTTACATATTTGTTTTAACTTAACGCGTCAAACATAAATTAATCTCATATCACTCGTTGTTATTTCTAATTTTATTCACTTAGAGCTTACGAAAATCAGTTCTAAACATAGGATGTCGCGATGCAAGGTGGCGACTACTCATTATTATAAAATATTATATTGGATTTGGTTTTGATGATAACTAATATAGATGATCCTTTATGCGGTAGTTCAAAAGTACAAGGTAGCGTGGTAGGCATGGACCTTGGCACGACAAATAGTTGTGTAGCTGTCATGGAAGGGAAGACACCTCGTGTAATAGAAAATGCTGAAGGTGGCCGAACAACACCTTCTGTTGTTGCATTTACCAAAGATAATGAAACATTAGTTGGGCTACCCGCTAAAAGACAGGTACTTAGAAACTTAACAAAAGAAATGTTATGCATAATAAAAGTCAGAGTTAAATTCTCACATTCTGACTGTGTTTTTTGTTCGAAAACACGCTTTTGTCGATCAAAATTATCAAATTTAAATTTTTGGTTATTCATAAATTTCCATTTTCTAATAGAAATTCGCTTACTTAACCTATTTCTCCGCTAAAATAGGCAGTTGTCAATCCTGAAAATACGTTTTTCGCCACAAAACGATTAATTGGGCGTAAATTCAGGGACAAAGAAGTCCAAGATGATATTGGACATGTACCATATAAGATTATTGAACACAAGAACGGAGATGCTTGGTTGGAAACACGTGGAAAACGATATAATCCCTCGCAAATAGGTGCCTTTATAGTGTCTAAAATGAAAGAAACTGCAGGTGCATATCAGAAATTGCTTCTAGAATGCAATGAATATCTTTTGTTTATTTGGTTAATATCTATGATTATATTTTTATATCTATCTAGAGTCATATTTGGGTAAACCTGTAAAGAATGCCGTTATTACGGTACCTGCTTATTTCAATGATTCCCAACGACAAGCCACAAAAGATGCCGGGCAGATTGCTGGTCTCAATGTTCTGCGTGTAATCAATGAACCGACTGCCGCTGCGCTTGCTTACGGTTTAGATAAAGTAGGCGATAAAATCGTAGCAGTTTATGATCTGGGTGGTGGTACATTTGATATTAGTATTTTGGAAATTCAAAAAGGAGTATTCGAAGTTAAATCAACAAATGGCAATACTCATCTTGGTGGAGAAGATTTTGATAGCACTTTAGTCCAACATATAGTTGAACAATTTAAAAAAGAGGTAGTATGCGATATGTTTACATTCTTCACACATGATTCACTAAATGATGCGTTACGCTGGATACATTTTAGCAATTCGTGGATCTGACTAAAGATCCTATGGCTATACAACGGATTCGTGAAGCTTCAGAAAAAGCAAAGATTGAGCTATCATCTACTCTCCAGGCATGTGAAATAACATATTGATACATTTATCCATCATACGGCTACGCGTTAATCCAAAATATATTATTGTGATTATTTCTATAGACCGATATAAATCTTCCATATATTACAGCTGATGCCACCGGACCTAAGCACATCAATATGAAATTAACTCGTGCTACATTCGAATCTTTGACCAAAGGACTAATTGATAAGACGATTCGACCGTGTCAACTAGCTTTGAAGGATGCCAATGTTAATACAAGTGGTATTAATGAAGTTATATTAGTTGGTGGTATGACGCGAATGCCAAAAGTAATTGAAACAGTAAAGGAAATTTTCAAACGAGAACCATCAAAATCCGTTAATCCTGATGAAGCAGTTGCTATTGGTGCTGCCATTCAAGTAAATGCAATTAATTTTGATTATTGAAGAAATTGTCATAAGAATATGATGATAAAATATAATAAATTTCTAGGGAGGTGTGCTTGCTGGTGAAGTCACAGACATTTTACTATTAGACGTTACCCCTCTTTCACTCGGAATTGAAACGCTTGGTGGTGTGTTCACGCGTTTAATCAACAGAAACACGACAATTCCAACAAAGAAATCTCAAGTATTTTCAACGGCAGCTGATGGACAGACGACCGTCGAAATCAAAGTCTATCAGGGAGAACGTGAATTAGTTAAAGATAATAAATTGCTCGGAAACTTCCAGTTGACGGGAATCCCCCCAGCACCAAAGGGTGTTCCTCAAATCGAAGTAACATTTGACATTGATGCAGACGGTATTGTTAATGTCGGTGCAAAAGATAAAGCCAGCGGAAAGGATCAATCAAGTATGTTTGAACTTTATTATTATATGTTATATGACACAAGGGTTGACCTGATCCGAATTTAATTCTTTTTATAGTTACAATAGCTGCCCAGTCTGGCTTAAGCAAGGGAGAAATAGAAAATATGATCCTCGAGGCTGAAAAACATGCAGAATCCGACCGTGAACGAAAAGAATTGATAGAGGCTTCAAATAATGCAGATATGGCAACACACGAACTTGAGAAAAATCTCAACGAATATAAAGATCAAATTGACGCTCAAGAATCAGAAAAAATAAAAGAAAAAATCCAAGAATTGCGAGAGTTTGTAGCTCAAGCACAAAGTAACCAGAATATCAAAGCAGAGGAGATTAAGTCCAAGATTAATGAAGTACAACAAGCTGGGCTAAAAGTTTTTGAATTAGCATATAAAAAGGTAATAAAATAGCTTTATGAGTTATATAAGTTTTATAACTAAACATAATTTTTCAATTGTAGCGCGCGGAAACACAATCGAAAGGAAGTAGTGAAACTCCCGAAGGAAATGAGGCCGAGTACCGGGATATAAACGAGGATAAGAAATAGTAATCTCTAAATAAAAGATAGTATGATGAATTTGTTTATCAAATAAAATTAAAGTTTAATGAAAAATGCAAATAAAATCGTTGATTTCTTACGTCTAAATATATCAAATAAAATTAAAATAAAAATTCATTGATTTGCACTAAGTGTCAATGTAAAATAACATTAAATATACGTATAATATTGACCTGCTTCAATAGGAATTAATAAAGAGATTGCATACTTTCGCAATTGTTTCATGTCGTGAAAAAGAGGTTTCATTAAAGAATTTGGAGAGTCCACTGCATCCAAACTTTATTGAAGGATTATTATATATAATTACTATATTAGATATATTTCTTGATATATTATCACAAGAGTCCAAAAGTGAAGACTTTTATATAAAAGTTTATGACACAGTTCATTTGGAAAGTGGCAAAATTCTGAGAATATCTAGAAATTTTCATGATAAAGAGTGATTTAGTAATATTACAATAACTTCAACCAAAGATCAAAGCTATTATAGATCAGATGAAGATGCTTGATATGAAAAGGTAAATATAACTTGAAGAATAGTAAAATATAATTTCAAATTTAGCAATTTTGAATAAATTAATCTTTATATTTCCTTTTAAAAGATATTACTCTTTCTATAGTTTTTTTGAGGATTGGCAAAGGATCCATACAATCTTACTATGATTCATTAGTATGATATTGTATCAAATGAGTCAGAAAAGTATAGTTGTTCTTATTTATACTATATTAAAGAGTATAATATAATTTCAATAGAATTTATAGATCAAGAGATATATATTATGTCAAGATTTGATAAAAAAAATTTTTTTTTGTTAAATAAATATATGTTTTGAAAAACTAATAGACAAAGAATTTTAAAGTCAAATTTGTATCTGTTGTAAACTTCAAGAAAAAAAAATAAATAATAATATAATTGATCTATTTATTATTTATCTATTTAATTTATATTCAAAGAATTATAATGATTTGTAATTATGCTAATTATTAGTTTTTTTGAATTATACTTCTTCAAAATTTTTATTTTCAGAGTTCTATACAGATTTTGAATTGATATAATTAAAAAATTAATAATGATTAATATATTTACTGATTATTACTAATCTAATATCTATCAAATTTACTAATATAATGATTTTTTTGAATTATATTTAGTCTTCTTGAGAGATATTTTTATAATATATACTAGTCTTTTTGATTTCTATCTTTTTATTATTAAAAAAAATATTTTATAAAATAGAAAAAAGAGATTAAATAAGAATAATAATAGTAAATAATTAGTTATAATCTAGTATAAATCTGAAATACTTGATTGATTAATAATTATAACTAAATTATAATTATATTACATTATATTTAGATATCTTTTAGAATTTGATCTTAATCATATATATATATATTTGTTTTAACTATATCTTTAAATTTAAGTATTGATAAGAGATTATTTTTTGATAGATCAAATAAATATTCATTAAGATTATTACTAATTATAAAAAGTATTACTTGTAATATGATTCTGTTAATATAGTAAAGTATTAATCTTTTGATTTAATAATTCTTTTTTAAATTAGATACAGATAGATATATTACTATAATTTCAATTTTAATATTATTAGTAAAAGTTAATAAGATATGTAGTAATATTTCTGAAATCTTAAAAGTTTTTTATATATATTTTATCTAAAATAGATTATATAGCAAGCTTATTTCTATACTCAAGAACTAAGATTCATTAGTTAATTATAGGTAAGTATATTTATTAGAATATGTAAATATAAATTTAACTTATTAATTCTTGAATTTGATTTTTATAATGATTAGAATATCCATTTTAAGATTAGAAAATAAGATTATTATATATTGTACTTTATCTAGATTATAAAGTTTTCTAGTATTGATTATGCCTATTATTAAATTAAGAGCTAAAAAAAGATATTATTATATATATATATAGATTTTTGTTAAGATTGAAGTTATTAATAAAGATTTCTGATATGAATTTCAAATTATTATTATATTTTGTATAATTATAATTATCCTATATTATTAGATATTTGTTTTATTTAACTAAATCTATTTATTAATTGAATATATTATTCTTTTAGAATTTTGAGTTAAATTATTAATTTTATAATTATTTTGACTAACAAGTTATTATTTATTTTTAATTTATTATTTTATTTTAATATATCTTCATATAAACTTTTATTAATACTTTTTTTAAGAGATTCTGATTTAGAAAGTAGTGATATTATTAATATATTTGAAATTATTATAGTAATATTACTTAATTTGATATTATTTATTATTTAATCTAACTTTTTCTTAATATTATTTATTTTTAAAAAAATATTATTAATATCTTTAAAGAATTTATTCATATTTTATCTTAATTATTAAATGATTTAATTATATTTATTAATTTTATTTTGAGTTGAATTTTTATTTATATATATATTTTTATAAATAATAAAATTATCAAAATTATTAGATGAAAATGATTAACTATTTTTAGTAATCTCTTCTTGTTTATTTACTTGTTTAATATTATCAATCTTATTTAGTAAAACTTTTTTAAAGTTAAGAATAAGAGATGAAATGGTTAATTTATAGTAAATAAAATAATAGTTTTTATATAGCTTGTTTAATTAGTTATATGATCATATTTTTTTATTTTTGATAATACATAACTTAATATTATATATATAAGAGAAATAGATGTTATATACTTTTATATTGATCTGTTTTCATTGTAAAGATAAGTTTCATAAAATAAATTTTTTAATTATGATAACTGTCATATCTATTTCAGATTTAAAGCTGATAATAGCTATTCTTTATCAATTATATTTAACTGAAGATCTTGAAATAAAATATATTTTTGTATTAATTTTTTGAAGAATATCATCAAGTTTATATATTGTAGTACTATAGGATAGATTAACTAATTTAACTAAAAAGATATCTTATTATTAGATAACTTTATGTTAATTAAGAAATGATAATAAATATACTTTATTCATTTCTAATAATACTAATTATTCTTTAATTACTATTTTCATCTGTTTTTTTGTGATAAATTAAATAGTTATATAAGTTTATTTATTAACTATTCTTTGTTTAATTTTTTGAATTTCTCTAAATTAAGATATAATTATGCAAATTTATTTAATTATAATACCAAGAGAGATATTTTTAATTATAATTACTATATTAGTATTAATTTTAATTGCAGATACTAAATAATTAATTAATAAGAAATTATTATCTAGAAAAATATAATTAGTTTGATTTTGTAATTTGATAATTGAGAATTCAGTATAAATATATTTTTTTTTATTTATAAAGACAGATTTTGCTTTGAAAAAGCTATATAATTCTATCAGTTTATCATTAATATAGGTAATATTATCTTTAAAAAATTTTGATTAGAAAATAAACTTTCAGATATTTAACTTTAATATCTTTTTATATTAGTAATAATCTTTTATTCTTGTTTCTTTTCTTTTAACTAGGAGACTTTATTATCTTTTTTATTATTTTATAATATTATAATATTATTTTTAATAAGATTATATTCTGATAGAGTGATTTTCATATACAGCTGATTGAATTAATTAGTTGAATTATTAGATGATATTGATTTCTCATCTATTAAAAATAGATTATCATTATTACTAATTAACTTAGATGCTGATATATTTTTTTTAACATATTTAATATATAAAATATGTATATTTAATAATTAATTATATAAATTTTTGCATATATTAGGCTTGATATTTTTGAAAATTATGTTTGAAAATTTGTTAGTTAACAGAATAGAAAGAATGGTAATTAACTTATTTACTTGAGAAGAAAATTAAAGATCAAGAGTATTTTTAAGATATTCTATAGATAATATTAGAGTTAAAGAAGTTTTTAGAGAGTTCTTTTTGTTATTTTTTTCTTATTTATTTGATATATTAGTATATTAGTCAGAAAATAAGAAATAAGAAAGAAAGTAAAATATTTTTAGTATTTTATATTTTTTATTATTTTTATATATATTTTATAATTTTTAAAAATATAATATTTATTATAAAAAAGTAAAGTGAAAGAAAATAGATATTAAAATAAAAGAGTTTATAAATAATAAGATGTAATTAATTGAGAGAATATGTAATTTATTATAGTTAAAAAATAGTTATAATAGCTTTTTCACTTTAGATAACTTGAACTTTACCTGGTTAAGAGATTGATAAAAAAGAAATATGAAAAAAATTATTATTAATATTATTATTATTATTTTAGTATATTATAATATAATTCTATCCTAGATGTAAGAAACTATACTAAAATACAAAAAAATTTAGCTATTTTATGAATAATTTTTTAATATATATAAAGAGCTATTAATAGATAAATTACTAATATAATTAGTTATCAATATAATTAGTTATTAATAGATCAATCTAGAATTAAACTAGTAATATAAAATTAATAAGAATATTATAAAATAATACTAGTTATATCTTTTGTTTTATAAATTAAAAATATATTAATTTTATATAGTCTGTTAAAGAACAAGTATTATTTATATGATGAGATAAAGAAAACTAACAGATATATAGTTCTAAATCAAAATGAATATGAAAGACTGAGTTATAAGAGATATTAGATTTGTAATCTAAAGATTTTTCTTTAGAGTTAGAATTAATAGTAGATAAGTATTTCATCTTGATAGTAATGTATATTTATTATTTATATGTAATTTGTACTTGATAGTAAGAAAGTCAAATAATTTTGCAGAATATTAGAATAAACTAGTAAATAAAAAGAGAAAAAATATAAAGAGTTTTAACTTGAAGTAGAAATATATATAGAAAGGATGTGAGTAAGTTAGGTATGAGATTATTAAGAAGATGAATTATAGAAATAGGAAAAGAGTTAGATAGATTATCAAAGAAAAGTTTAAATAGTTATATATGAATAAACTATCTATATTTTGT